AGAGGACTCTCCATTTACATGAACAAACTGGAGTCTATTAGATAGATATGATACAAACCAGACTAGATTCGATGAGCTGCATGTAAGGATATAGTGTGAAGGAGGTAAACACAAACAATGGATTAAGCAAAGGTCCTCTGAAGCGGTTTGACTGGCACAAAAAGTCAAAAGTCAGAAATGACTGGTTTTTAGAAAATTTAAATCCCTCATCTAGTGACAAAAATGAGAAAGGAGAGGAAAAGCTGCAGAAAGAGAGCGTACAACTTTCAAGGTATGTTCGTTTGTTTTTTTTGCCTTTTATTTCGTTTAGAGCAGCTTTAAATTAAGTACGAGGCTTTTGATCCACAGCCGTTTGGTCTTCAAGCAAAGACCAAATGACGAAGTATAAATAGCAAACACCAACCCTAACTCCTAGAGTAGATATCCAAAATCAGTTGTTCAAAAGCATTATCAGCTTACACTGGGTATTGGTGCAGGTCATCCTCCTCTATCTGAAAGAGTCCATTATAGCTAATGTCCTCCTCGTAACAGTTAACGCAATGCTTTTGTTAAACTCCCTGAATAAAAGCTGTAACTCTAAACTTCAGTCAAACCTCATTGTGTGAGGCAAAATTACATCCATCCCAAAAACGTATTTACCTAATTGTAAATCAGAAAATCAGAACAAGCTTAATTGGTCTCATTTAAGCGAATAGTTCGTGACACTTTTGCTGACAAAACCCATTCTTTTTCAACAGTTTTCCTTCTTTTCAGGACAGTGGAGGTGAAAGCTTGTTTATCTTCAGCATCTTCTCAAATCCCAGAGTTATTAGCCTCATGCTTTAAATGTCAAAGCCATCAACAGTGAATTCCACTTTTTCCTTCCCCTGAAACTCTGAAGCCTACCTACAGTCCTTCTGAGTTGCTCTTTTCCCCACCAAACCACATGCCCTCAATATGACCTTACAGACAGCAGCGATGAGCCCCTTAATCATGAAGTACCTAAAAAAAAAACCAACAAACTCCTTCAAATCCAACCTGCCCTTAGACCCTTCTTGTTCATCTTCAGAATTCTGCTACTTTTTTTGGATAACTGATACTCCCCGAGTTCATGCCCTGCTAGTGAACCCAAACACTACAGTTTCTATCTTCAGTCTCTCTTATTTCTCCCCTGTTATCCACTCCTCCTGATGGCTGCTCATATTTATTTTCAAAGCGTTGTTACCGGGTCGCTAAAAGCTTTTAAGAACAACCCACCAACCCTAGGCTACATTTTAGGCACAGCAGTCATTGAAGAGGTAGTGTAGTGATCACTACTCTACCTCTTCAATGACTGCTGACTTTTTGTATTTATTACCACCTGTAATAGAGCTTCTTTTTGACTAACACTTCTTTTCTCTGTATTATTGTGCGGTCTTTAACTTATAATATAAAGTGTGTCAATGTCGTTTTGATTTGGAGCTACATAAATAAAACTGAACTGAACTCTGGCATTGATGTAAACTTTTACACTGATATGTATTAAATCAGATCACGTCATGTTGTCAGGAGCACTACACTAACTTTGACTGCTTATGTGTGTGCCAAAAGAGCACTTTAAAGCAGCTATAACTGTAAGTGAAAACATTAGGGCGATACGAAAACATTAGGGCGATCACATCTATCTATGATGTGATTAACCTTGAAAGAATTACCCATCTATGGACCCTTACAGTTTTCCTCAATTTCTTTTCTCTTAGTAGCATTTGCAGCTACAACAGGAAGCTGATTTTTAGGGGGGAAAAAACTCCTAAAAAAAAACAAAAAAAAAAACAACCAGACAGTCGCTTTCCCAGCACAATGCAGCATACAGACAGAGTTAGCAGCAAGCTGGCGAACCTAGTTGAAGCATTTAGCAGCTAAAGAGCCAGATATTTCCCTCAGGAGTTAGTGGAGTCAATGGAGACAGGTTTGCCAGGTGGCCAGAAACACTTCAAAGAAATGATAATGTTGCTCCATAACACAAGGATGAGAATACTGCTACCAATGCAGCAATAAACAAAATAAATAAACAATCAAAAATGCAGATCTCAAGTTCATTGAGTCATAATATCATGCTGAGGATGAATAGCTTAAAATAGGGCTTAAACAAATAGAAAATATCAAATATGTCAAGGATCAAGCCACGGGACTTAATCATCAAACCATCTTTCAGCAGTCAGATTCTTTGTGCACAGGACTTGAGCTGCATTACATGAAATAAGTGAATAATTAGACTGTCCCTGTAGGGGCCTTATGTTCTAGCTGAAAGCAAGTCTATTCCCACCACCACATGTCTCGCTATTCAATTCAAAGGTGGTATTCAAGTTTTCTTTGAGGAGTTAACAGATTAAAGCAGACGATGTGACCTCGGAGACTGTGGTGGGAGGGTGATGATTTAGCTGTTGCCAAAGCAGCAAAGAAACCGTTTTAGACCTCAGTTTGAGTTAATCTAACCATCTGCGTTATGTTTTCAGTAAAATTGTACCAGTTGTGAAATTCTGGACAACCACTGGTGTTTAAAACAACACTGAAAAAAAAACCACATTTCCAGTTTATTTTGTATTTCTGCATTTTGCGACTATCATTTCCTCTCCCACTGAGCGATTACAAATATAAAATCTTGACACGACACCATCACACAGTTGCTGCAGATTTCTGTACATGCATGATCCAAATCTGCTGCTTCGCCGCATCCCAAATGTGCTCTATTGGAGTGAGATAAGGTCACTGCGGAGGTCGTTTGAGTACGGTGAAATCATTGTCTGGTTCAAAATACTGTTTGAGATGCGCTGAATTTTGGGATATGGTGTAAGCTGTGATCATAAAGGGATAGACATAGTCAGCATGGTTGTGGTGTTTAAACTATGCTTAA